ATGGCACCAGCCACACACACCAAAGGTGGCAGGTTCTAGCCCAGCCCCAGCCAGCTAAACACTAATGACAACTGCGACAAAAAAATAGCCGGGCATTGTAGTGGGTGCTGTAGTCCCACCTGAGGCAAGAACATTGCTTTAACCCAAGAATTTGAAGTTGCTGTGAGCGGTAATGCCATAGCACTGTACTGAGGGTGACATAATGAGACTCTGTCTCCAAAAAAAAAAAAGAATCCTTACCAGTGCTACCATTTTTTCTACTTTTATGTATGTTCAAGAATATCCAAAGTAAGTTAAAAATTCACTGATGTTACTCGGGAAAATTGTTATCCCTTTTACAGGAACACTACCAATTAGAAATGGAAAGCCGTAGTGAGTCAGACTCTGTCCTGCTAGCTTCTTATACCTGACTTATATCTTCTTTTGTATATTACCTATCTTACCATTTCTGGAAACAACTTGGCAGAGCAAGGAGGTATCTCAGCAGAGCAAGAAGTTACATCTGTCAGTGGAGATGAGCCCCTCCCCAAAAAGGTAATAAGAACATTTTTTCATAAAAGGCTTAAAGTTTTATTTAAAAATGGGGCTGTAGGTTAAAATGGAAATCTAAATCTTGCAGGCTTTGTAAGCAGGTCCAGATGTGAATCCTGTCCCAGTGACTTGTTATTTGTGTGACTGTTTCCTCTCAGCTTTAATCCTTTGTATAACGCTCTGAAAGGAAATGGCCACAGGCATTGTTCAAGACAAATGCCATAAGTGGTTGCAGTCAAAAGGTTACAAATGGGAGACTAAGAAGAAGGATAACCTGTCCTGCCAACTCAATAAGGTTAAGAATCAGTTGAAAAAGTTGGTGTACTTTATATATAAACTACGAAGCAGAATCTGATTATTACTTGATAAAATTTGTTTGGTTTTGGCTGGGCACTCCTGGCATTTTGGGAGGCCGAGGCAGGAGGATTGCTTGAGCTCACAAGTTTGAGACCAGCCTGAACAAAAGTGAGACCCTTAAAAAAAAAAAATAGAAAAATTAGCTGGGTGTGGTCAAACCACTTGTAGTTCTAGCTGCTTGGGAGGCTAGACTGGAGAATCACTTTACCAGGCGTTTAAAGTTGCAATGAGCTGAGATGATGCCACTGTACTCTACCTAGGGTGACAGTGAAACTAGGTCTCAACAACAACAGAAAAAATTACTCATTTTTGACAGAGTCTCACTCTTGCCCTGAGCAATGTGGCATCGCTCACAACTCTTGGGTCTAGGTTATCCCTTTCTGAGCCTCTCAACTAGCTGGGACTATAGGCACCTGTACTGTAAAGAGGCTGGGCAAGGTGGCTAGTCAACGCTCAGCTAGATACTCTATTTTTGGTAGAGACAGGGTCTTGCTGTTAGGCAGGCCTCAAACTCCTCAGCTCAAGCAATCCACCCAACTCGGCCTCCCAAATGCTAGGATTATAGGTGCGAGCTACCATGCTGAGCCCTTATGTGAGAGATAATTACATTTGCTATGAATTCTGTCAATTTTAAAACATGTTTTCATATGCTCTTTGTTTTTATCCCCTATCTGGAACATAATTTAGGTGCATGCAAATCTGTTTGTATATATAAATGTTCTTTTTAAAAATTTATGCAGGCTCGGCGCCTATAGCTCAACCGGCTAAGGCGCCAGCCACGTACACCTAAGGTGGCGGGTTCGAATCCCCAGCCCGGACCCGCCAAACAACAATGACGGCTACAACCAAAAAATAGCCGGGCGTTGTGGCGGGCGCCTGTGGTCCCAGCTACTTGGGAGGCGGAGGCAGGAGACTCGCTTGAGCCCAGGAGTTGGAGGTTGCTGTGAGCTGTAATGCCACGGCACTCTGCCCAGGGGGACAGCTTGAGGCTCTGTCTCAAAAAAAAAAAAAAAAAAAAAAAAATTTATGCAAAAGATGGTGGGTACCTGTAGTCCCTAGCTACTTTTTTTTTTGCAGTTTTTGGCCAGGCCAGATTTGAACCCACTACCTTCGGTATATAGGGCCAGCTTGTTACTCCTTTGAGTCACAGGCACTGTGCTAGTCCCAGCTACTTGGGAGGCTGAGCCCAAGAGTTGCTGTGAGCTATGATGCCATTGCACTCTATTGAGGGCAATTAAGTGAGACTCTGTCTCCAGAAAAAAAAAAAAAGAAAGAAAGAAAACACCGGCTCTGGCTCCACACCCATAGCTCAGTAGTTACGGTGTTGGCCACATACACTATATGCACTGGCAGGCTGACGGATTCGAACATGGCCTGGGTCCCCTAAACAACAATGACAACTACAACAACAACAAAAATAACGAGGCATTGTGGCGGGCGCCTATAGTCCCAGCTATTTGGGAGGCTGAAGCAGGAGAATAGCTTATGCCTAAAAGTTTGAGGTTGCTGTGAGCTGTGTGAGGCCATAGTACTATACCAAGGGCAACATGATGAAACTCTATCTCAGGAAAAAAAAAAAAAAAAACAGGGCAGTGCCTATAGCTCAGTGGGTAAGGTGCCGGCTAATATCTCAAGGCTGGCAGGTTCGAACCTGGCCAGGGCTGGTTAAAACAACAATGACAACTTCAACAAAAAAATAGTCGGGCGTTGTGGTGGGTACCTGTAATCCCAGCTACTTGGGAGGCTGAGGCAAAAGAATCACTTAAGCCCAAGAGTTTGAGGTTGCTGTGAGCTGTGACACCATGGCACTACCTAGGGCCATAGCTTGAGACTCTGTCTTTAAAAAGAAAAAAAAAAACAAACACTTATTAATTATTCTTTGTAAGCTATTTGTGTCCTTTGTTTCTTTGTTTTCCTTTTTTCCCTCTGCAATTCATTTATAAGCTAAATATCTTAGAGCTACCTGAGTTGACAATGAACCTAATTGAATATATAAATGAATTTACTATTCCCTATTCTTGGCTGTCTTGGAAGTTTCTTTGGTTTGTTTTTTATATATTTGTACAGATAGTTAACTTTTCTATATTTGAATGAAAAAAAATATAAGAAATTCACAAGATCACAAAGTAATAGTGTTTGTTTTCATAGCTTGTGTTGCATTTTGCCAGATTGCCTTCTAGGAAGAATAAGTAATTCATAGGTGTTAGAATTTTTCTGCAGCCTTTTCCATTAGGTTTGTATTACTTTTGTACACTTTTTTGTTGTTGTTGAGACAGAGTCCCACCCTATGCCCCTGAGCAGAGTGCAGTGGTTTGGTAGCTCACTGCAACCTCATACTCCAGCTTGTGGGTTTCCCGCTGCCTCAGCCTCCAGAAGCTGCTGGGATTACAGGCGCTCTCCATGGCACCCAGCTGGGTTTTTCCATTTTTTTCATGAGTCAGGGGTCTCACTCTTGTTCAGGTGAGTCTCGAACTCCTGAGCTCAAGCAGTTGTCCCTCCTTAGCCTTCCACAGTGCTGAGATTACAGGCGTAAGCCACCGCACCCAGCTTTTGTGCACTTGGTAGAGTTGTATATCCTCTTCAAGGTTGATTTTATATATGTTCCAATTTGAATATATTCCGGTTTCTGTTCACCAGCAGTCTCCCCAGAAGCCCAACCCTTTTCGGCCTTCTGCTTCTATGGATGAGGAAGAAGGGGAAATTTGCACAATATGTTTGGAACAGTGGACAAATGCGGGAGACCACCGGCTCTCAGCATTACGCTGTGGGCACCTCTTTGGGTATTGTTGCATTTCTAAGTGGCTGAAAGGGCAAGCACGAAAATGTCCCCAGGTAAGAACCATAGGTAATAACTCACATGTTAAGTCAGGAGAATTCCCAGCCCCACACTAATTGTGTCCTATTGGGCTTTTTAGTGCAACAGGAAAGCCAAGCATAGTGACATCGTTGTGCTTTATGCCCGAACCCTGAAAGCTTTGGACACTAGTGAGCAGGAGCGCATGAAAAGGTAGGTGGTGAGAGTGTGCCTAGGGATCCTATTGCCTTGGCTTCCCCAAGTGCTGGGATTACAGGTGTGAGCCCCCTTGCCCAACCTCTTTACATAGGTTTTTAACCTATCTGAAATAATAGTTTTGTGGATAATTAGTTGTAGCATAATTTATCAAATAGTATATTCTTTCTGTGTAAATTTTCATTTCTGTTCTGAATTAAATTTCCATATATGAATGGATTACACTAGTCCCTACTTACCCATAGAAGATACTTTCCAAGATCTCCAGCTTTTAACATGCCACTTTAATTTTTTATAATTTGCCTTAGGTCAAGCAAGCACTAAGTTGGCTTTGTTTCTTCATTTTGCCTATGGCATTTTTACTTTTATTTTATTTTATTTTATTTTTATTATTTTTGAGACAGAGTTTCACTTATTAACCCGCGGTAGAGTGCTGTGGCATCACAGCTGAAAGCAACCTCCAACTTCTTGGGCTTAGTGATTCTCTTGCCTCAGCTTCCCAAGTAGCTGGGATTACAGGCGCCCACTACAGTGCCCGGCTATTTTTTTGTTGCAGTTTGGCCAGGGCTGGGTTTGAACTCGCCAGCCTCAGTATATGGGGCTGGCGCCTTACCCACTGAGTCATAGGCACCACCCTATTTTTTTTCTTTTCTTTTTTTTTTTTTTTTTTGAGACAGTCTCACTATGTCACCCTTGGTAGAATGCCGTGGCGTCACAGCTCACAGCAACCTCCAACTCCTGGGCTTAAGTGATTCTCTTGCCTTAGCCTCCCAAGTAGCTGGGATTCTGGAGTATGCTTAACACTAACACTTAGGACTTTAGTCCTGGGTGCTAGTCTTCTGTAGTGTTTCTGGACTTGAGAAACACTTATATTTTATTCATTATTGTGACATTTACAACAAACTGTGAGTATCATAGTATGTCTTTTTTTTTTTTTTTGAGACAAGATCTTGCTCTGTTACCCATGCTAGAGTGCAGTAGTTTCATGATAGCTGACTGCAACCTCAAAGTCCTGGGCTTGAAAGATCCTCCTACCTCAGCCTCCCAAGTAACTGGGAGCATAACCATGCCCAGCTAATTGTTCGTTACATTAGGGTCTTACCCTTAGTTAGCCTGGTCTCAAGCTATCATCCTCCTCGCTCTCCCAAAGTGTTTGATTATAGGTATGAAGTGCTGTGCTCTGCCCTATACCTTTTTAATGGATAGTTTTCTGTAGCCTTGCTAATCTCCACCTGTTGCTGACTTACCCCCTCTAGTTCTCTACTGAAGGAACAGACGCTAAGAAAGAAGGCCGAGTTAGAATCAGCACAGTGCCGGCTCCAACTTCAGGTTCTCACAGATGAGTGCAGTAAGCTTCACAATCGTGTTCAGGTAAGTTTGTCCTTTCTAACTCAAAGAACTTTTTGAATATAATCTGAAGAGGAATCCAAATATTACTTAGGTTTATCTCCAGTGCAAACAGGATTTACTTGTTATTTAGGAAATAAACATGATCAACTGTACAGCATTTCTGATGAGGGCATTTGTCTAAAACTTACATACTTTATAATGAAATGTACTGTTACGTGAATTTTATTTATTTATTTTGGAGACAGAGTCCTACTTTGTTGTCCTTGGTAGAGTTCTGTGGCATTATAGCTCACAGCAACTTCAAACTCTTGGACTCATGCTGGAACTATAGGCGCCCACCACAATGCCCAGCTAAAGGAATTTTTTTTTTTTTTTTTTTTTTTTTTTGAGACAGAGCCTCAAGCTGTCCCCCTGGGTAGAGTGCCATGGCATCTCAGCTCACAGCAACCTCCAACT